AATGATACTGGAGCCAAATTTGATGTTCTCTAAGCATACAAAACGCGTTCGGCATTTGAATCTCGACCAGACCAACTTCGTAGTGTAAACTCACATCGATAGTCTGTGGTAATTTAACGAAAAAATGCCCAGCCTCGTTGTCTGGAAAAACATTCGGTGATGTATTGCTAGGCAGGGTCACATAAAAACTCATTGTAAAATTTTGGTCCTTGCAATGGTTGGGTTAGGTAAAATATATCCGAGACAGCTGGATAACAACACGACCCAGAGTTTTCCCTCTTTGTCGTCGACCGTTCCACGCGTCAGATTAAATAGTGAAAAAGCAATGACGACAAATATAACCAACATTTGAGAGATGAAAACGATTTCCGGTCGTGTCCTTAGTCTACCGAACCAACTCGAAATGGTCGAACCGATAGAAGACGTGGTGGATCTGGGTCTCACCTCGATCCCACCGAACGGTCTGAGCGTTTCTTCCAACACGGGGTCATCCAGACTTAGGCTTTTTACCGTTTCCTCCATCCTTAGTCTTTATATTTCGAAATGTCTCTAGCTGAAATCCAACTGTTGAATGAAGGGTTATAACCGAACCACTTGACTAAATACTCTTTACCACCGACACCCTTTCTTTCTTGTATAATTTGTTCGACGCGGTACACTTTTTTGTCCCCCACTTTCTGAAGCTCCTCTTTGTAAAACGAACCTTTCACTTCTTCACCTGAATCATCTTTCAAGACGTATGTTACAGGCGTTGTCGCGTTCACGCGGCTCACCGTAAACAGTTCTTCCGTCCACGACGGGGTATAACCCTTTTTAAACGTGTTTCGGCTTTGGCCGATCCGTACACGATCACCTTCGTTAAATACTTTTCGATAAGTAATGTCCCCATGTTCGTATAAAGTATTCCAGACCCTTTCTTGATTAGACAAATTAACATTCACAGGGGCCATACGAATACTCCTATGGTACGAGTGGTTATAGTTGGTGATCAAGTCGTCTACGACATCAATGTAACGAAGACGATTTGTTTTTGTAAAGTACCGCCACATTTTTTCTTTTAATGTTCGATTGAATCTCTCAACTATAGCCGCCTTAATATCTTCATTCTCAGTGGTAAAGAAATGAACGCCTTCATCTTTAAGAAATTTTAAAAATGTCTTGTTGACAAATTCACTACCTTTGTCTGTTTGAAAATTTATAGGTTTTCTAGTAGTAAATATTTTACGTACGGCCTCCGCTAGAGCCTTACCCGTTTTTTTCTTTATCGGAATCGCCCAGGCGAATTTGCTAAACACATCGATGCAGGTCACTAGGTAAGAAGCACCACCATTGTACTTTCGTAACATGCGCATATCTATAAGATCCGCTTGAAACTGGTGATTTATCCCACCTGTGATGGTGGCGCGCCTCTGAAAGCGTCGCCGAAGAGGTTTATGTAACGTGTAGGTATCCTGATGACTTAACCATTCTTTAATTTTCTTAGTTCCAATTTCAGGGTGCTTAAACACACCGCCGTAGGCACCTGGTCTGCTAGGATCATAGTAATGTCTTTTTAGTGTTTGGTTTTTTCCCACGCGTCCCATTTGGTAGTGCTTGTTTTAGTTTTCTTACTTCTGGTACGTTTCGATGGTGGTGTTTTTTCTACGTGTGTCTTCGTTTTCTTCGAGGGGTGAATATCAGAGTCAGGCGAGCCGGATTTCGTTTTAGTTTCAGATTCTGTTATGTCTATCGTTTCTTTTTTAGGTTCGGTTATGTTTTCTTGTGATTTTTCAACCTCAGTCGTTGGGGTATTCACGGTGGATGGTTTCACATCGACTAATCCTAGGGACTTGTTTCTATAATCGCTAAGTCGCGTCGTGTAGAGCTGTAGTGTTTTTTGATATTGTCTCACTTTGTCGTGTGGTGACAAATCTTCCCTATTTAAGATATGTTCCATTTGCATATCCAAAAGGCGTAGACTATCGTTGAGTGTATCGGGTGGTACATATGCTTTTTGTTGCATAGACTCTAATATTCGAGGATCCATTAAAAGCATTTTCCTGGCCATCTTTAAAATCCCAAGACACCTTTAAGCACACCGAGAACTGGTCCGAGTAAAGCACCTAGGAAACCACCGGTCTGCAAAATTTGCTTTCGTCTTTTGACGGTCAATGACTTTTTGGTAAGTTGTCTCAAGTTCACTTTGTGACGACGCAAACGTCTCTTCTGACCGGGCGTGAGGGGAACGTTGCCTTTTAAGACATTGTGACAGCACTCGCATAACGTTTTTACGAGTTGTGGGGTAGCATTTTCGACAACGGCTTTCACGGCGGGTGCTTTGGCCCGAGCCAAAAACCTTAACATCTCACCTTGTTGTTTTACCGACTCAGACATGGTTGCTTTTATTTCGGGACGTAAACGACTTGCTGCTCGTAAGAAAAGATACTACTGCGTAATCTCAGATTATCCGGTGTTTCCTGTCGAAGGTCGATCAACAAATAACCATGAGGGGCCGATGTTGCGTCCTTAAAACTTTCCTGGACATACGAAACGCGACCGGGATACATTTGTTTTGCCAAATTTGTAATTTGTGAACCGTCTCTAGGGTTCTTGAACAACACTATGTAATGCGAATTGAGACTGATGGTTCTTTGTTCTTTATTTTTCCCGAATAGGTTTTGGACAATATACATGACACTAATATTACGATGGTGACTCCCTTTCGTAAACAATTTTGTAATTCGCTCATCTGTTTCCGCCATCAAATCATCGATGACGACTAGACGTCGACGTTTTCCATCCCCCATTGATCCATTTTCTAAGTCAGGAAGACCTTCCACAAACTGAACGTTCTTTATGGTATCAAACAAAGGTTGCCACTCCGCGTAACAGTAATAAATTTCCTCGGGTGCCGGATCCATCATCTCTGACACCTGGGATAAAAAGGTTTTGACAAATACTGTTTTACCACTCCCAGTTGGCCCAGCGATCAGAGCGGTAAACGGATGTTTCCATCTCGGATCCATCGTTTTAAATGGTTGATTTACCTTCCAGTCAAAAATCTTATATAGGATACCGAGTTACATAATTTACAGGGACAAGTAACAAAACAATAACACATACTTGTCTTTTAATATAAAAGTAAGAAAGTGAGTTTCTGTGATTGTGTGTGTGTGTGTGTGTGTGTATACGTGTAGCATACGCGTACTAGAAAACCAACAAGGTAATGTCCGGCTGATCGACCTAATTACACCCCCAGCTGTTGCACAGCAGCTGTTGCATAATGACCTAAGTACTTCGCGGAGCTAACAAAGCGTTCGGTAAAATCGATTAACGTGGTAACAGGTGTTCCCACACTTAACGCGGGTTTCGCGGAGAGACACTTAATGTACGGCGTTAATTACCATAACCCGTCAACCGAGCGGGGAAAAAAGCCATTAATCATCTGGGCCAGCGGCTGCGATCGATATAATACCCATTAAAAACCACCCAGCGCCTGGAAAGTTCACGGGTGGCTCGATACGTAACAGATGTTACATGTCTGGTTAAAGGCTGGTATACAAAGACTGTTCTAGTACATGATAGTGTTAGTCTTTTATTTAAAACATACATACGTTCAAACAAACCAACAAATTAAACAACAAGTAAACAAACAAAGTAAACAATTTAAAATCAAACAAATAATCAAATTACGTAACTCGTTAATAAAAATTAATTAAAATTACAACATTAAATTCAAACTCATTAAAATCCAATTACGTCACTAGGTCAATAAAAAATTACACAATATAAACAAAGTAATTAAAATCACATTACGTAACTAGTCAATAAAAATTAATTAAAAAGTAAACAAATAATCAAATTACGTAACTCTTGAATAAAAAATTAATTAAAAATTTAAAAAAACTCATTAAAACTCATTAAAAAATGCATTAAAATTACGTAACTAGGTCAATGATTACGTCACAAGGTCAATAATTACGTCATAATATCGCTGATTACGTCACAATGTGACTGATTACGTCACAAGGTCAATGATTACGTCACAAGGTCACCGGTGGTGACCTACTTCCCCACCACCTCCGCCAACCCTAGTTGGCGTAGTATTTTACTATATCTCATTGTACATCCTGCTCACCCACCCTGCGGCAGCTGGCGTAGTATTTTACTATATGTCTTTGCGCATCCCGATCCGAGTATTTTACTATATGTCGTTGTACATCCCGCGCATCCTCCTCCCGAGTATTTTGCTATATAACCTTTGCGCATCCCAAATTCGCTCCAAAAGGGACCTAATATACTACTCACATGCCACAACAGTGGTCGTTTGTTTAGTGGGGTGGCATTTCTTACCGGGGGCGTCTTCACAAAATGTGGGGAGAGGGGGGGGGGGTGATTCATCAAGTCTGCATGTACACAAATAAAAGGGTGGGGGCGCTAGGCGTGTTTTTTTAAATAATATTCTTATATTTAACAAAAGTAAATTATTTTTGAAATACGACTAGGTTGTATGTGCGTGTGTTAGTGTGTGTGTGTGGGGGGGGGGGGGGGGGGTCGGATCAATTCAACATATTTTATGGATCTTACCTACCCACTGGATAAAAATATATATTACACTCATCCATGATACAAGAAGTAACTTAAATGTCGTTTTCTGGAGAAAAACAAACAAATTTTCAAATCCTAGGTACAACTTTCCTTAATCGCGTATAGAGAAAACTTAGCTTACAATTTTAACATAAAAAAGATCCATTTTCCCCAAAAACAACATCAAAAAGTTCTAGCTGCCCTCCCCCCCCCCTCATAAAACAAAAACACGATAGAAAACTGACACGTTCTTTACGAAATGCCACCTCCCCCCCTTGCACTTGCAGTTCCTTATGTATCTGACCGTCGCGAAGCCAGAATGCCACCCCCTCCCCCCCCCCCCCCCCCCCCAAGCTGTTATGCCTTTATGGATAAGACATTTCAAAAGCATGTCCAAGATGTATATCTATTTTTTGTTTTAAATATTTTTTCAGCGTACCGAGGAAATCCGAAGCAAACCCTGCTACGTCAAGTCAGAAACACATGCAGCGATAGAGTAAAATACAGCCATAGCCAACCATAGCCAGCCATAGCCAACCACAGCCAACCACAGCCAGCTATAACCAGCTATAGCCAGCCATGTTGAGCCACCACTTCAACAGCAAGTCGGAGATCGCGTCCTCGTCAGACGGCGTGGATCTGTACAAGTCTTCCCTGGCAGACGTCGGTGACGTCACCTACGTTTGGAGGGACCAGCCCAAGAGTCTGAGCGAGATCCTGCAGGAGGAGACGCTGCCCATCATCGTCAAGGTAAACGGCAGGGAAGTGTGTGGGTCTTGTACGTGGGTTGTTGTCATCCCCGTCGTCATAGCAACAACAGCTGGTAGACATGGAATTGTGGGTCTTGTACGTGGGTTGTTGTCATCCCCGTCGTTATAGCAACAACAGCCGGTGGGCAGGGAATTGTGGGTCTTGTACGTGGGTTGTTGTCATCCCGTCGTCATAGCAACATGTGGTGGGCAGGGAATTGTGGGTCGTGTACATGGGTTGTTGTCATCCCGTCGTCATAGCAACATGTGGTGGGCAGGGAATTGTGGGTCGTGTACGTGGGTTGTTGTCATCCCGTCGTCATAGCAACATGTGGTGGGCAGGGAATTGTGGGTCTTGTACATGGGTTGTTGTCATCCCGTCGTCATAGCAACATGTGGTGGGTGTTAACGGTATTAGATAAATGTAGTAATATTATTACCGTGTTAATTGTAATAATCAGTAAAATGCTGGTATTCAACCGGTAAGAGGGTCTGTGCCGCTTCTTTACCGGGAATATAGTAAAATTAAATGTAATTTTCAGTATGTATTCAACTGTCACGTGCACTAAGTCACGGACAGGGTAAAGTAATAATAAGTTTGAGCAGCTAATGCAGTAATATTAATAAGTATAATAAGTGAACTTAATAGTGGCAAGCTGAAGGTCTGATGCCTACGCTACAATTCAATGTGCGCAGTTTACAGCCTTAAAGTAATAACAACCTGGTCCGATGACCTCTTGACTCTGGCAAGGGTTTACGGCCGGTGTATAAAATACAATATCAGGTCCGATGACTACGGGTCAACTCAATGCCCGCAGTTTACGGCCTGTAGTAAAATACAAATAACTATAAGTTACTTAAAAACACAAAGTTACTGCAATAGTACAATTTAATTTATTATACTTTTAAAACTTAAACATACGAATCATACTTATTTATATGTATTACAAACCATACAGTTATTATAGAATGAATGAAGTAAATAACACAAAACCATGCACGTAGGAGTAGGGCCGACGGCCCAAACGCCGCGTGCGACACCACCAGCTGAGCTCAGTCCTGGAAGAGTGCGAGAATCCTTTGTTGCATCCCCTTATATGCATTAAAACATTGGCGGTGTGTCACGTGGACAATCTAGCCAATCAGAGAGGGGCCTGTGAGGGGGACGAAATATAAGAATGTACGTCAACTTAGTTGTAGAGGGGGGGGGAGTAATAGAGCAGGTAGAGGGTGGTGTAAGAAAAACATGGAGCTAGGCCTAAACGGTTTTACCGTCACACCCCCTTTCCTCGCTAAAATTTCGTGGTAACGCAATTTTTAGCGGACCAGAAATAAAACAATATCTTTTTATGTGCCTTTCAAAGTATGGTTAAACAAAAAAAGTAAATGTACATTGTCTTTAGACGAAAAGTGAATAACATTGAAACATAGGCCATTGACATGAAAAATGTGTATACAGTTGCCATGATAGGCGAGTACAACATCAATTACAACATTGTGATATGCCATAAAAGGGCATAGTAAACAAACATTTTGTTGTGGATGTAAAGTGTAATAAGACAACAGTGAATAATGACATTTTTTTCAGTATAAGTTTACATTGTATTCAGGAAATTAACTAACGCTAAGTTCTGTTTTAGAAGTATGACAACCAGGTACGCAGTAATTGACTGTGCTGTTAGTTGGGGACGATAAGTCTGATTCGGTCCGCAAGGGCGAGAACCAGTTTTTGGTGCTAAGGGTGATAATTGTAACTTGCTCTGTTGATTATCTACCCCTTGTATAGCTGCGACAGGTAATTCAGGACCGAGAGCGATCCTCCTCTTGTCGGCGAATTTTTTTCCATTAGCGAGGGGCTGGTGAGGTTTAGTATGTAGACCTATGGTGGGTAGAACCATGGGGCCGATAAGGTTGACAGTGGTTGGTTTGTTGTTTTGTCTCCTGGGCTCTTGACGTGCTGTGTAATTAAGGTCGACTGGAGCATCCGGTGCTGTGTTTATTGATGATTCAGTCGGGGCAGGGGAAGTAATTTTAACGAAGTCGCTTTTATGGCTCAGTGTAGCATCATGAGTGTTATCTTCTGCCTGTGGCAGGGTTGGTGTGTAGGGAGTAGCGGGTGTTGGTTTAGGTCCTAATATGGTCATGTTTTTCAGCTGCTCAAGCATTGCCTGCTCGGCCATCTTTAAGCGTGATTCCGTTTCGGTCCTTCTATTTATACGTCCCTTCCAAATAATAATTCTTTCAGCTATTGACACGCTGGTATTTTCTAAAACTTCGTCTTCTTGTTTTTCGATTGATTTGATACTATCCCATTCCGATCTTTCAAAATTATTGAAATTGATCTCGATAGCCACTTTAATTGCTTGTAATTTAATTTCTTCCTCCCACTGTGGCTCATTTAATCTTTCTTCCTCGTCTAATCTTCTACGTCCGTCTTCTTCCTGCAAGTCCGCTAAGTCCTCTATGTATCTTTGTCTAACAAATGCACTGAGTGCCGCCCCTTCGTAGCCATAGTCAATGGCGTACCTGATAAGGGCGGGGATGCTAGTGGAGCCACTCATTATGCAGCCTGGCTAGGACGTTGACACTGGTAACGTGACACGCGTGTGCTCAAGCCGTGTACCGGGTTACGCCTAACAATAAACTAACTAGAAGAAAAGTATTCGACAGACTAACAGAAGTAGGCCTATTCTACAAATAATAGACTACTAAGTTAACTACAAGAATTGGAGACCAGTTTTAAAATTAAAACTAAAGGAATCAATGTAGTAAGTCAGAGTCAAAATCTAAAACTTGACACTTAGCTACAATTCCAGTGGTCTTGCCCTTCTTGTGCAGCCGTCAGTTGTACAGAATACTTCTTGAGCAGGTAGCAATAACACACAGAAATATTTTTTCCAAAAATTCAAAGTAAACAATAGCAGTAAAATTCAAATAGATATGTGAAACAGCAGGATTTATTCAATTACGAGTGGCTAACTCGTGTCTAGTATTTAGTTTGACGAGCCCCCATGTTAACGGTATTAGATAAATGTAGTAATATTATTACCGTGTTAATTGTAATAATCAGTAAAATGCTGGTATTCAACCGGTAAGAGGGTCTGTGCCGCTTCTTTACCGGGAATATAGTAAAATTAAATGTAATTTTCAGTATGTATTCAACTGTCACGTGCACTAAGTCACGGACAGGGTAAAGTAATAATAAGTTTGAGCAGCTAATGCAGTAATATTAATAAGTATAATAAGTGAACTTAATAGTGGCAAGCTGAAGGTCTGATGCCTACGCTACAATTCAATGTGCGCAGTTTACAGCCTTAAAGTAATAACAACCTGGTCCGATGACCTCTTGACTCTGGCAAGGGTTTACGGCCGGTGTATAAAATACAATATCAGGTCCGATGACTACGGGTCAACTCAATGCCCGCAGTTTACGGCCTGTAGTAAAATACAAATAACTATAAGTTACTTAAAAACACAAAGTTACTGCAATAGTACAATTTAATTTATTATACTTTTAAAACTTAAACATACGAATCATACTTATTTATATGTATTACAAACCATACAGTTATTATAGAATGAATGAAGTAAATAACACAAAACCATGCACGTAGGAGTAGGGCCGACGGCCCAAACGCCGCGTGCGACACCACCAGCTGAGCTCAGTCCTGGAAGAGTGCGAGAATCCTTTGTTGCATCCCCTTATATGCATTAAAACATTGGCGGTGTGTCACGTGGACAATCTAGCCAATCAGAGAGGGGCCTGTGAGGGGGACGAAATATAAGAATGTACGTCAACTTAGTTGTAGAGGGGGGGGGAGTAATAGAGCAGGTAGAGGGTGGTGTAAGAAAAACATGGAGCTAGGCCTAAACGGTTTTACCGTCACAGTGGGCAGGGAATTGTGGGTCGTGTACGTGGGTTGTTGTCATCCCGTCGTCATAGCAACATGTGGTGGGCAGGGAATTGTGGGTCTTGTACATGGGTTGTTGTCATCCCGTCGTCATAGCAACATGTGGTGGGCAGGGAATTGTGGGTCGTGTACGTGGGTTGTTGTCATCCCGTAGTCATAGCAACAACTGGTGGTGGGCAGGGAATAGTGGGTCGTGTATATGGGTTGTTGTCACCCCGTCGTCATAGCAACAACATGTGGTGGGCAGGGAATTGTGGGTCTTTTACATGGGTTGTTGTCATCCCGTCGTCATAGCAACAGCTGGAATTGTGGATTTTTTTCTTCTTCTTCGTTCTTAATTTTTAGTGTTGGAAGAGACTTTTTCGAATTTTTAACAACCGTGAGCTTTGCCGACTCGACCACGCCTCCAACACAAATAAGTATGTTATACATGTGGATCTTATACATGATATTGTCGTTCAGATTCTCAAAGCAACAATTGGCGGTACTCTCAAAATAAATAAATAATTAAAAATGTAACTTAAACTTTTAACCAAAGACAACTCAAACACCTTAAAGTAAAAGCAATACCTTTTAATTCGAAAAAAGTAGTTAATTAAACAAAGCCGCTTTGTATAATTCATAGTGTGTGGCTATTTATCTTTAGTTTGTATCTGTGTAATGAAATGTAATCTTGACTTCCCAATCTGCCCCTTACTGCTGTATAAGAAAATGTAATGTTAGCTAAATGATCTCCCCCTTACATACTTGCAATTAAATGGAATCTCTTCTAACCAACCACCCTCTTAGATTATGTGTCATCAGAATCATTATCTTTACATATGTGTAATGAAATGTAATCTTTGCTAACAATCTCTTCCTTACATGTGTGTAATAAAGTGTAATTAACCTATCCTCTCTTACAGCTGTGTAGCGAGAATGTAATTAAAGAAAAGGAAATACCAGTGGACTTAAATCAACCTCTGATACTGTACAAAGACACCAAGGGGAAGAAACTCCACGCGAGAAATATACGCGCTAGGACTGCCACAAGGGACACAACCCGGTTTATTTACGACTTGATTGGACCCCACGTGACTTTTTCGGAAACGTTTCCAGGTCAATTTTCAAACTTCTTGCCAACATATATTTTTTAATTTTAAATATTTTTTTTTAACCCAACCTTAATTAACTATTCAGTTTCATCTCCTAATAAATATTTTCGAAATCGAAAGAAAATTAAAGGTTAAATGAATCCCCTCACCCTAAAAACGTATCAGGTTTAAAAAACTAACCCATTTAAATTGTAAGCCGATATTGATTTGGCGATATTAATTTTACACTAATTAGCACACATAGTTTTTTAAACTTTTTTTTTTAAAACAACCGATGTTTTAATTTTGGTTCAAAGACATTTCTAAAGTTACTCCCCTCCCTCCCTCCCTAACCTTTTCCAACGCAATGCCAATCTCTTCCAGTCCTTTTTGTCGCGTATTAGTTACAGATGGTCTGTTAAACAGTTCGAGTACATGTTTGGTCTCGTTGTCATGGCAACGTGTTCATTGCGCAGCCTGTTGCCATGACTACAGCACCAAACAGGGTGTCATCTATCTATCGCACATGTAGAAACAGAGAAAGACACCGAGACAGAGACACACGTACACTGAGATAGGAAAACTTTAAGACAACAAAAAAAAACAGCACTGAAACACAAAACTAGTTAAAAAAATACACTTTAAGAAAATAAAGAAGAGATACACCGTTGCTAGATTCTACTAACTAAACAAATAAAAATGTACTTTCTATATTTTAAATTTTAGAATATGCTAGTTTGAGAACGTTATTAATACTATGTACAACTTAAATAACGCAGTGTGTAACGAATCCAGCAATCCACTAATCCACCACTAATCCACCACCAATCCACTAATCCACCACCTATCCACTAATCCACTAATCCACCCACAGGTTTTTTCAAAGAACTGGACAGCAAGGACCATTACCTGGTGGCTGTGACAGACCTCTCGAATGTCATGCCAAAGTCATTTGTCAGTGTGGTAGAATGTCAGGGGTACCTGTGTATCAGCCAATTAGCTGTAAGTTTCATTTGTTTAATGACCGAATCTTTAATCACATACTAGCTGTAAGTTGTATTTTTTAGTTACCTAATAATTCTTCACGTAATGTTCAAATTTTTTTCATGACATAATACTTATTCATATATAAGATAAACTATTTCATTTTAAAATACTAAATAATGATCCATTGTCTTTTATACGGGTAATAGGGCTTGTAAGTAGGCCACAACTTCTCGTTATCGTACTATGCAGCTAGTAGATTTCGAGACTGTAGACTCACAAGCCCTATTGGTCGACCAAGGATGAAATGACGTCAGACAATAAAACTCCCCTAGCGCCCAATAAGTCTAATTTGTAAAAGCAATCAGCATGTTTTACATCTTTTTCTTATTTTTGAGCACAAAATATATGTTAAATGACATTACTTAAACTATCTCTCCCCCCCCCCCCAACCTAACAAACCTGCCTCCTCTTCCCCCTAGCGTTACATGTCCATTACTTACTTACTTACTTAATCCTCATCACTCCCTGTGGAGTATAGGGCAGCAACAAATCTCCGCCATTCCACCCTGTCCTGGGCGAGCCACTTTAGTTCATGCCAGGTTTTGCCAGTAGCCTGTACTTCTTCTTCCATCTCCCTCCTCTATGTTCCCAGTGGTCTTCCTCTATTTCTCTTTCCGGGTGGGTTCCACTTCAGCGCCATGTTGGGGAGTCTTTTTTTGCTCATGCGTAGGACATGGCCCAGCCATCTCCATCTCCTCGTTCGAACTTCTGAGACAATGTCGTTTAATCCTGTCCTTCGCCATATTTCCTTGTTCGGGACTTTGTCGTCCCACTTTATCCTGAGGATGCGTTGGAGGGATCTTCTTTCAAAGCCTCTGAGTCGGCTCTCTCCTTTCTTGTTTAGTTTCGATGACTCTGCAGCATAGAGGAGTACAGAAAACAACCCAATAATTATCCCTATATTAGCTGTGGGTTGAGTTTTTTTATACAATTAAAAATCACTGAATTTATTTAAACTAGCTAAAGTTAATATTTTTTTAAAAATATTAATTATTGTCTCCCCTGTCTCTCCCCCCCCCCCCCCTGCAGGACAACCTGTACCAGAAGACAGTCCTCTCACCCGGGCTGTACCGGCCCATTGAGATCCTCCAGTCCAACATCACCTACACCAACAAGCGCAAGTCCGAGAAGAAGAAACACGTCCACTGCCTCAGCTGCCACGACGAGAGAGGCAAGGTCGTCCTCTTCCCCATCACCAACAAGGGCGTCTTCTATCTGGGGGAGCTCAACCCCAACAAACCCCTCGGGGCGTTGAACCCCGCATGCCGCGTCTACAAATGGACAGGGTTCGATCCCCAGCGCCTGAAAGGGCTGAGAGTGAAGATGATGCACGGTAAGCCGCCAGTACAGGAGTGCCAGTTCACGGGGTTGCTAGAGTTCTGTAGTGTGGTGGAGGAGCACACAGTCATCGGCTCCACCATCTCTTCCACCCCGCGTCTGTTTGAGCTGGCCGTGACGTCAGAGCCGTTCTTCATCGTGGCCGCCAATACGAAAGAGTTGCAGATGGGAAGCGTGCAGCAGAAGTGCCTCAAGTTCGCGAGAAACGAGTGCGACACGTACATGGAGACGGTCAAAGTGAAGAAGGATTATGGGATAGACCAAGCTGAAGACCCTCCTTTAAACACGGACTAGAATAGTCTTTTGTTACATAATCAGATGTCATATTCGCATAACTAGGGACCTTGTGTTCACATTGTATCTGCTACTAGATGCAGCATTTCTACACCACACTGAAAGATATATTTCAGAACTGTTGCTTTCATCGGCAGAAAACTACATTCACTGTAATTTTATATTTATATATCTTTGCTTATACCTCAATAGTAAACTTGTTTATCTAGTGAAAATTGTCTCTGTTACAGTTAGTTACACCAAATTACAGTTAGTCACACAAAGTTACAGTTAGGTAGTCTAAGTTACAAATAGCCACACAAAGTTATAGTTAACCATTAAAAGATCCTAGTATGACCCGGGAACCAACATACTCTAGCCATTGCAACAATGTGTCCATTAACTCTAGAGTATTTACACTGGCTAAATCAAGTACAATAAGAAAAAGACTAGTCTATAAAAGTCATGTATACACACAAGCTACAGACTTGATTCTATAAATAGGTTTAGCTGAGTACAGGGTAAACCCATAAAGTTATTTCCCACAGCTTAAAGCTTTGTGCTTTGACTTCTCCGTTCTGCTTTTGCTATGGGAGCTTTGGAGTACTGTTCAATGTGGCTTGATCTACTATTATACCAGTCCCTGTATACAAAGGTGCAGCCAGCTAGGTTGTCACAAGGTGCAGCCAACTTGGTTGTCACAAGGTGCATCCAGCTAGGTTGTCACAAGGTGCATCCAGCTAGGTTGTCACAAGGTGCATCCAGCTAGGTTGTCACAAGGTGCATCCAGCTAGGTTGTCACAAGGTGCACCCAGCTAGGTTGTCACAAGGTGCACCCAGCTAGGTTGTCACAAGGTGCAGCCAGCTAGAGGCTGTCACATTACCTTGCGTACTTGTCCATAACAGAGTTCTTAATTAAAGCCAGTATAAAATCTTTGCCCATTTAGTATTACTCTTATTTTTTTTCTTTTTTTTTTCTTCTAAGAAAAATGGTCTAGATTTGAGTTTTCCACAACAGAAGTATTAACACCGTGTAGAAAAGTGATTATTACAGCTGAAGGTGTTAATACTTCTGTTGTTCGTCAAGTACGTTTATAATATAATATAGCCAATCATTAATGAAGGGTTTGTACCAATTGGTCAGGATCTCTCGGGCAGATGAGGCTCGTTATCTGGGACAGCAACTCTTCTAGGAGAGACAACTCTAAAATCAAACAACTGCTCCCTTGTAGTTTGTTCTTGGTTGGAAATAGGCCATGGAAGCAAATAAAAAAAAAGCTGGCTGAAATCGGAGTCAATGGCTTCAATGGCGCATAACCAGTTGACACGTATACTAAATTGTGTCGGAGGGGATCCCTTCCAACACTAAAATTGAGAAAAAGATGAAGAAGGTCGGTATCTGGATTCAAATCTCTGTCTATACTTACCCACGTTCTAAATACTAGCCAGATGCAACTCTGGTCAACTAGAGGCTAATCTATTCAATGGACAAGTTTCAGTTGTCTTTTAGTTGTTTTCCCACATAACAAGATTCTTGACGTAAAGACAAAATACAATATATTGGTAACAAAAAGACAAAATACAACATGTTGGTAACAAAATAAAGGAAGTCAACATTTTGTAGGCACTTGAATATTAATTTGAATTTAATTATATAAAATAAAAAAAAATGATATTACAGAATGTAAAAGGTTCCAAAGAAATGATATATACATCTTAGGGAGCAGGGTCTCTACATCGACTCAGGTGAATATAAATCAGGTACTGGGCCAATAGGTACTCACCTGCACGTGCACGGCTGACCTGGGATATGTGCACCATCCACTATATTTGTTAGGTTTGGGTTTGAATCTGATAGTGTCAGAAGTCATTGAATACTGGCCAAAATAAATCCTTCGTATATGTAAAGAAACATATGAACTCTACTTCACCTGCAAAGTTGTGTGTAAAATTCCTAAAGCGATTGTGCTGAATGTAATAGATCGAATGTATTTGTTAGATCAAATTTTATCTGTGCACAACAGAATCAAGTAAGAAAAGTACTTCAGATAACTCAAGGATATTGTGTACAGTGTGTTGTACTACATCACTACATCGCTGAAATAATAATTTATTCATACGTGCCTTTGCAGCCATGAAATGTCCAATCGTATGCCTGCAGGAATAATGTTGTAAAACACATTGGCGGCACCACGATAATATGACTCAGTTTAGCCTATGGGTACATCCAGAAAAGAGAAATCTTTAGGGCGTACCACCACATTTGAATATTGAGATCATAGGTTGTGCGTCTATTGTGGTCTCTCTCTCAACCTTTGCCTCAATGCATTGCGTTTGATACCAACTTTGGTTGCAGAGACTGTACAAAGGAAAGCACGGCAAACACTATCTCTAGTGCTGCCAGTATTAAAAACATTTCCTTAAGGGACTGTTTATCCAACACACATTGCTGCAGCTATAACTTATTGCTGTCGGAATAGTTTAACCAAAAGTAATAGTAGATATAGATCTATGTATAGTAGGTTTGAATTATCATTTAAGTTTCGCAAAGAACACAGTATTATTGACAATATGTATATTTGGCCTCTGATTGGTTAGAATGATGTCACGTGTATAGTTTGTGATGACACGAAAAGTAAACACAGCTCACGAGACGTAGAATGAAAACACAAGAATCGGTGACGTATCACACGAATGTTGTTGACTCCCTGCTCTTGTAGGCGGTGAATTCTGTAGTTGCGTCCCTTGGCGGGATGACGATTTTGTCGTCACTGGCCAGTGACTCGGCGTCAGAGTCGAGCAGGTAGTCACGTGGTTCTCCCGTCAGGCTGATGTCCGTGATAAGGTCAAGGGCACGCAGGGACTCGTCCACCTGCCGCATGTACTCGGGGTCACTGGGCACGTGCATGATGACCTTCTGGTCGGTGTCAAGGTCAGGGGCCAGCTTGATCATAGTACTGTAGACCTGTGAGTACTTCTTGCACAACTTCTGTGCGTCGGTGTAGGTCTTCATGTCTCGTAGGGGCTCGTCGTTAGACAGGTACTTCACCTGGTGGATAGACGCAGGGTTTAGCTGGGGTTTACATGAGGACCTAATTAATTAAAAGCATTGGGCTGAGTTAATTAGGGATAAAGATGTTGAGTTTGAAATTTTGTTGGAATGCGGCTCAGAACAGGGCAGATTACGCCCAACTAAATTGTGTCATTGTTAGATGGTCCAACCGGTTTAGTTTCTCATTAGAAACTAAACATTGGGGTTTAACTTTAGGTAATCTAGTACTAGGACTCAGAGCTGTGCAAGAAATTTCAGATCAACAGTTTCTGCTTTCAAGAGAGATTGCGTTTAATAAGCATCTAGTATAAATACCAGGACGACTAAAGAAGAACATCGATAAAAACGATAACCTTTGATAATCCCAAGTAGATTAAGTGGATTAACAGATCAGTGTGAGTTAAAAGACCAGATTGAGCGGCTAAAAGATACTTGTGGAGAAAACAAAAGGTGGATTAACGTTAGGTTGGCGATACGGACTTAGCCTCACACACCATGCCTGTCCCTACCCCTCTCTGTGTCCACATGAACTTACCTGGACAGGTGACGTAACCGGGAGCTCAAACAGCACGTTCCTGGTGTTGATGATGGTGCTGCCCACCAGAGACTCGTCTATGGTCGCGGTTCGAATCACAAGCATGCCTGCAGTAGACAAAATATTGGTTCTAATGGACACATCATACTAGTCGACACAATACCACTAAGTATACACACGTACCTGACCACTCACCTTTAAATACAATCACTCATACCTGATCACTCACCTGTAAATACAGTCACTCATACCTGATCAGTCGCCCGTAAATACAGTCCTTACACCAGACCACTCACCTGTAAATATACACGGCACCACCGGAGCTTTACCAAACAGAAGCCTGACCTTGATGGGCAAGGTCAGGTCAGAAAGAACGTCCTTGACGCTGTAGACGGCGTTGAGGTTGACCTGACCTTTCTCGTAGATGGCATTGAACTTGCCCTTGTGGGTGAGTGGGATCATCAGCTCGACCCCGTCAAGGTCGACACACTTGAGGTACGTCACTTCCTGTGTCTCCCACTCCTTGGTTTTTTTCTTCAGTAGACCGGTCTGGGCCACAGTCTTCCAGGTAGCCGTGAACAGACCTGGGCAGGGGCAGGTTGGTTAGAGGGCGTTAGGATGGGCTGTTTGGTTTGATTGGTGATGGTTATAGGTCTTAGCAGTAATCTGACTAGTAAAGGTTAAAGGGTTTTAGGATTTAGGATTTAGTTTTAGCACTGATCTGACGTATACTGGTTAGTTAAAGGGCATTAGAATGTACTGCTTAACACTGAACTGACAATATCAGCCAGTGTTCATAGTTATTTAAAAGAACTATAGTTTTATGGGGTCCAACACTAGTCATTTAACACTGTACATACTGTGGTCAGGTAAAGCTGAACATACCTGTAGTTTGTAAAACAGAACCAGCCGGAACTTTTCTCTCCAGATACTTCTGCGCCTCACCTTCACCTTCGACCCTGATGCCCTTGACATTGGACCGTGTGAAAAACTTCTTGGGCATGGCCTTGGCAACGTCGGCGATGGACATGAAGCACTCGGCTCGTCTGAAGTCTGATGGAACTAGTTCAAACCAGCCTGCGGACGTGACATACACGGGGTAAAGGGGGTAGCAGTCGACACATACATGGGGTAAAGATGGTAGCAGTCGACACATACATGGGGTAAAGATGGTAGCAGTCGACACATACATGGGGTAAAGATGGTAGCACGCGACGCATTATTATTACAAAAAAAAAACGTATATACAAGTGATCTTATGCTAACCATTGTTATCAAATCGAAAATTAAAACAGTATGGAGATGCTATTTGGTCATCGGGTCTACAGGAAACTTTCTAACAAGGAAAAGAAGCAGAGAAAAGAAAAACTGGGAGCAACATCAGGGAATGGATGGGTTTAACACTGGGGATGGCGGAGGACAAGTGGGATGGAGTGGTGGATCACTGTGAAAGCTCACGGTTGCTAAACCAAATAAACCAAAAAGGCCCGAGTTCGAACCCCTGGGCAGATGAGGCTCGATAGCTGTTGACAGCAACCTATCTAGGAGAGACAACTCCAAAATCAAACAACTGCTGCCTTGTAGTTTGTTCTTGGTTGAAAAAATGCTATGGGAACAAATACTTAATTGTGTTGGAGTGAATCTCTTCCAACACTAAAATTAAGAACGAAGAAGAAGAAAATATAATTGCAGATTTTGAGTGGTTTTTAGTAAGGATAAAATATTGAAATAAACAACGCCATCTACCGAGATAATCCACGGGAATAATCAACGTCTGCCCAACTTCATAGAACGCTCCTTTAGGATCCTTGATGATAGTCCTAGCTCGCGCTTGTAATTTGTTGACCTTCATTTGCATGAGGACGGGTTGTCGAGAGTATATCTTCAGCCCAGGGGGGAGACACTCTCGCTTCCCATCTTGATCTCTGATGCTCTCTTCAAAACAACACACACAAGGGAAGTTATCCTTGTCGGTAATTTCTGCCAGAGTTACGTTTTCTTCGTCCCATTCTATTTTTGGACCGATAATTTCCCGATTAGCAGACGATTGGGACCCTGTGATATCCGGTAACACAGACGCCATGTTAGTATGGAAGGGGGTGACTGTTAACACGTTTTTTGGTGGATTCTTCGACCCTGCTGATTCTGTAATAGTTCCAGGTTGGCAGGTCAAAAGTGCTGACCTCAGTGTCGTCTGCAATAAAACTGATACAGTACAGGCTAAAGCACCGCAGACTGACGAATTAGTCTTAGCTGATGGCAGCGAGAATCTTTTATCATTCACAACCAAAGTTTCAAGGTACCGACTTCTTGAATTTAGAATCTCGTTTGATTCTGGCAAAGAAGATTGCGCTGAAAGTCTATTGTGTTCATCAGATTCTGTTTTCTGATGTTTAAATAATGTGTCTGTCGTTACAATGTCTGTGTTGTCTGTTCTTGTGTCTGCGGCAAGTCTGTCTGCAGACTCAAGGATTGTGCTGGAGGTTTCTTGTGTCTTCTGCGCATGCGTCGTCCACTTGAGCATCTCGCAACATCCTGAAAAGTGACGAAGACATTTAATGTTGGTGGGAAATTCATTTAATTAGTTGCTACAATCCTATACATACTGATGTATACGTTTTGATTATTTTTATAACGTCTCTAGATTTGAGAAAAAAATATTTAAAAATAAAATAGAAAAATAAGATTTAAGTTTGGAAAAGAGGCACAGATGCCGCAACCACCAATGTAGTTATGAGACGAAAATAAAGACTTTATTTTATTTTGAAAAATACATTGGCTGAAAAATATTATGTTGTCATTTCTTATGTGTTACATAACACATAGTGTCTTTATTTTCCCCCCATGTGCTACACGTAAGAAATGACAACATAGGACTTTTCAGCCAATGTTTAAGAAGACAATGTGTTATGCAACACGTAAGAAATGAAAACATTAGATTTTCAGCCAATGTATTTTTCAAAATAAAAAAAAGACAATGTATTATACAACACGTAAGAAATGACAAGATTAAACGTTTCGGCTTTACGTATTTAAAAAAAAAAACTGTTTTAAGTGGGGAACAGAAATAATTTAAACCTTTTAAAATTTTGCGCCGTAAAACGGAAGTTTATTATTAATTAAGAAACGTTTCTTTCTCTTTTCTTCGAGTCAAGTACTAATGCACACGAATTGTGTATTTAATAAATTTTACTAACACTAATTCAGTCATTTCTATAATGTGTCTACATGGCTTAATGTCAGTTTTAAGATTAGATTACATCTGGCAACAGTACAAGGTACATAATAAATCTCAACAAAACCTTGGTAAACTTTTACTTGTTGAGAGCTGAGTACATTAGGTACCGTCATGGGTTAATAAACAGCACTAATTCTAAAGTTCAAAGTTCAGACCATGATGGGTAAAATAAAACCTCAACTGATCTAATTAGCTTAATTAAGATATATTAATTAATTAGGTTTGTCGTATGTGTGGGTTGTGCCTCACTAAACCAGATATCCAGAGTATCCTGATCTGAATACAACCGTTGTGAACTGGGTAACTGATACCCCACCCCCACCCACCCAGCCAAGGATGAGTTGAATAGTTCACGTATACCAACAATAGCCAGTCTGTTGCTGGATTGATTTCCACGGACATCGCTCTCTCCACGTCTGCGTGTCTTTCTTTCATAATTGGGAATGGTATGGTTCGGGAGGGAATGCTTGCATACACAGCTTAAACAAGCGGACAAAAGTGACCCCACACCCCTTCTTCTAGCACAACAACAAAGGTAATCCATTAAAACACGGTAGAAAGTTACATTCGGTTAGAAATTTATGAGTGTAACAAAGTAATCGATAAATATTAAAAGGCGAATCAATGGAGGTGTATAACTTACCGGTTCAACACACACGACCTCAAGAGCTGGGATAAAAATAATTCAGGGAAACCAGTTTGACTAGGTGGTGCGTCTGACAGTTGTCATATGCCGTGTTATGGTGTGTCGTGTCTGGTGTGTCGTGTCTGGTGTGTCGACTCATAGGTGTGTTAAATATTTTAAGATGGTTAGCACACAATGTCTTCAGGCGATGAATGTTGTCGAAATGAAATTAGTCACAAGTTGTAGGTGTGTTAACAGAAGGAGGGCGGTAGGGAGGGGTCACTTACAAAATGTTAACAGTCGTGGAGGTACAAGGAGGGGCCTGATAAGGGCGGCCCTCCCTGAAGGGCAGGGGAGGTAGAAGGAGGGGCCTGATAAGGGCGGCCCTCCCTGAAGGGCAGGGGAGGTAGAAGGAGGGGCCTGATAAGGGCGGCCCTCCCTGAAGGGCAGGGGAGGTATAAGTATATACTTAAAAAAAAAGCTTTAGTTAACATTTCTTCAGATCAGCATCAGTGCTGTTACGATAAATTGGGTCCGTGGTACGATCGATTGATTGATTGATTAAACGAGAAAATCGATCGTCTGCGTGTTGTTTTCATCAACTGCATCTCGTCGTGGACTATCGTGGTCCAGGGATCGAAACCTTGGTGGAAGACGATTGCCATTCTGTACAGTTAATTAACAAGATCAGCGGGTAACAATGGAATAACAAATATACTGACAGTTAGTCGATATTCTAGGACCTGACGTTCTGTTTCAGTTCATTTAATGGTGTGTATATCTATATCTGGCTCCAACAGCTGAGCAGAATAACAACCAATGACAGTGTCGTGTGGTTTACTATTTATGGAACATGTGCCGGATGCTTCAGTAGTTGTGTGTTATCAAGTATTTTTAAAACATGATCTTTCTTGAGTTTCTCAGATTATAAAATGCGATATTTATAATATAAGTTTTTACTTAGCCCCGCCGATAGCCCTTAAGATTCAATGGCTAGCTTGTATCACAGAATCTACAACACCAACCAGCACAAACCAGCCGCCAATTATGTTACATTGATGAATTTTTTCTCAAAGCGGCGGTGTTGGGTTTCAATTAGTAGAGAGCAACTTAGTTTAATATTAGTAAAGTAACTTGGTAATGTCAACCCTAACCTTATATCTAGCTCAAGTTTTATCATAAGCCTAATTCTAAACACCTAAAATGATCTTAAAATATTACTAATAAATAAAAACTTTAAAAAAAAATCATTGTCGAACATAGAAAAAGAATTACTCTTCAAAAATTAATTAATACCATGAAAAAAAAAATCTATACCACATAAACATGAAGGCTATGAAAGATAATCCAGAACTTCTAATATCACTTACAACTTGAAGGTGGGTACACGCTTATGGCGTCATTACATCCAGTTCTACTTTTAGAATTACCTCAATACCGTTCCATTGATTACATTATATTACATATTTATATAAGTAAAAATTCAACACGTGAGTTAGCATATTTGATTATCAAACAAATACCTACTCTGTAAGTAAAGATCGCGATGTGCACAATGATTTCATTTTCCTCCCGGCTGCCAAACTAGCGGTGCTGTATGACGCCATGTTACATCCAGTCAATATTGAATTAATGACTAACTGCGGTTAAGGCCCTTTGAAACTCGTTAGACTTTATCACACCCCACCCACACCCGCCCGCCCACACAACTCCACCCGACATTCCGTGGTTATATGTAGTTTAGTTACACACCGACTTCTTGTAGCAGTACTGTCATACAGGCTATTTATCATGGGCTGATATCAGTCGTCTCTATATTTATGTTCTATACAATTTTCTAAAATGTTTCTTTACTCAGCCCTAATAGATAATAACTTAAAATATTTAAAAAAAAAAAAACAACTCCAGGCTATTTTGGGCCTAACCTTCATGTAAAACCGGATTACATACTTGTTGCTATAGTTTATGTTTCTTTAGTTGTTGTTTTTTTAAATGAGAAATTTAGTTTTAAACACCTTTTTTGGTCAGACTGGTATTAAAAGTTTGCTTGTAAATTCAATAAAAGACAATAAAGCAGGAAAAAAAAAATACGCTCACTAGTTTTAAAATGCCCTAAAATAAGACATTTAAGACCAATAACAGTAATAGTTAGGGATGGCGTGGCATAGCAGTAGAGCGTTAGACTGCTAACCTGAAAGTCTCGAGTTCGAATACGAGTTCTAATCAATAGAACGTCCCTGATTAGCAACTCACGTTAGAGAAACAAAGGCGGCTCGGCATAGTTCTAACCATAGTATTCCCTAGTATGCCGAGTGCAATGAAACAGATGAACTCTACTTCATCTGCCTCGTGTGTCTTGTGCTCAAACTGGAAATGATTATGACAAGCAATGATAGCAAAAAAGTAGTGGTAGCAAAATGTGTATTACACATATCTAGAACTACAATCAGTATGATGATAATCATAGACAACAATATGTTAGAACTAGACAGCGTTAGGATAGGGGCGGAATAATGCGAATTAATCGTCATTTAATAGAGCAATAACCATTTGAAGAATGGTCAAATATTGTAATAAAAGTATCAATTTGATCAATGATAGCGAACCTCTGGGATCACCTCACCGTTATTGAATTAATGAAAACATAAAGTTAATTGATTTTAATGTTAACTTATTATTTTGACTTATTATCTCTATATATAATTCTCTTCTTGGAGACCCCAGAAAACAAGTTGTAAGCGCGCCTTGCAGTCCCATCTCTTCTTTACTAGGCATAAATCAACCTCCCCCACCCCCACATGGTCTGGTGAGTTGTGGTTCACGCTAAATGTTTACAATCGTACAGCCGGGTTTAGTGACGCCTATTAGGGGCAGATAATTTAGTTTGAAACTATTTTAAACATAGGGGAGGTAATTAAGAGGAGGCTGCTTTCACGGGGGGGGGGGGGGGTAGGGTAGGGGTTGGGGGAAATGAGGGTGTGGGGCGGGGGGGGGGGGGGGTTATCGTCCTTAACGACCAACTGATAGTATTTTAAAGCAAATATTTTCAGTGGCAGCATGGGTACTGTCGAATTCACAATTTATGAATTAATGAAAAGTAGAAAACAAAACAACTAATTAGCGGCGTATGATACGCCGCGGGTCGGCTCGTATTTTATAAATGTGTAAGTGTTCGGTATTAAATTATTAATTGTAAGTGCTTACAAACAGGTCTAGGTTACATTATGTAAGTGCAATATGTAAGTGAATTTAAGTGTCTATTACATTAGGCTAGTTGTTATATTAAAAGTGTTTGATAACTCTGTAAGTTGTTTATAGAATTATTTAGTCAGCTGAAGAACCGATTCCTGGCGTCTCTGGGCATGAACTAAATCAGCTCGAACCTGTTGACTATTGACCATTTTACTTTTTAAGCCAGGTAATTTTCCAAGCAGTAAACTAAAAAGTTGAACTTATCTTGTGTCTTTTTCTGGATGCGCCGAGTGTCATCAGCTATAGGATCTTTGCCATCTGTATCAAGAGCCGTTTCAAGAAATTTTTGATGGTTGGATTTAATTCTCAAATTAAGTAAGACGTTTAGAAAATGTAGGTATGATTAATGAAATCTGATGACTAGTATCAAGCAAGGGACGGTGTGATTGAATGGTAGAACATACAACTGCTTAACCAAAAGTCTCGAGTTTGAATCCAGGTTCAAGTGCTTGAGTCAGTAAGACGTTCCTGAGTCCATCCAGCTCTGATGGGTACCTGACTCACCCTAGAGAGATCAAAGTATAACAATAACCATATGGTTTTTAGTATCATTAGTTGCACATAAACGACATCAAGAAATGTTTGGCTACCATCCATTTAAGTAGCGCTAACTTACTACACAGCGAACATGACTCCACTGATAAATGTATACATTTTAACAACGGTAAGTAAAGTAACGATTCAAACTGACAAAGGCCAGGTGAAGTAGAGTTCGTCTGGTTTCTATGACCTCGGCATATGAAGAGTATTGTCAGCACTATGCTCAGTCGTTGAAATAATGGGCCTTCAAAACATTGTCAGACCCCCCCCCCCCCTTATAGTAAACAAGGTAGACCTACAATACGCTATTCATTGTTGACCCCATATAGAATAAGGAGACAATACGGCTAATGATAAGAATACCCAGATACCAGACTAGCGATACATGGAATATTCCAAACACCAGAAGACACAAGATTTAATACATATATGCTTTATTCTTTTTTATCATAGAAATATAATATGAAACATTGATTTAAAAAAATGATAAACGAAATGTATCAAGTTCCATTTCCAGTGAAATGGAGCAGACGATAAGAACAGATCACTGACCAGAATTTCTGAGCGGGGCCACGTCACTTCCTGGCATGGCGAAATCATAAACAAAAAATGGTTTTCACATCTGCTACAATAGAAACTGGTTAAAGGGAAATAAGAAAAAATTGAAAACAAATTTAAATGTTGACAAAAATATTTCGCTATCTGTTAAAAAAAACTCAATTGAAATTCATATTTTTTTTCAATAAATAAAAAAAGACTAGTATAAAAAAAATGAGAGTAGGGCTTAAGATCAACACTTACAAAATTTATGTTATAAATTTTTTTCACCACTGCTGCATGCCTAATCAGATACTAAATTTATACACACACACACATATATATATATATATATATATATATATATATATATATATATATATATATATATATATATATGCATCTAACAGCTTATAATATATTTGTATTTTTAAATTATACATATATCCAAATATATCAATTTATTGTTTGAGACTATCAGCAAACTCTCTGATTAATTTATACAAAATCTGATATTCAAAATTGATTTAAAACAATGCAAGTTTCATGCCAAAGTTTATCTGCCGACTAAAGTCTGACTTGGAATACATTAGACATTTTTTAAACTTCCAAGTTTTCAGGAAAGACATATTTTAAATTATGTATAGCTTTATTCTGAAATTCTATTTAAGATAAAATATTTCATTATATTACCATAATCAAGAGCACATTTTACAGCCATATATTTAATTAGTCTAACTTTATTACACATGTCTATATATAAGGTAACCTAGTAGCCTATATTCATAGCCTACTGGTGATGTTGTTTGTCTAATGTGGTTGCTACATTGAGTTCATTCTCAGGCAATATAAAAATGCTATTGGCTTTAGTTTTTACTGAAACAAATATTTTTTCCCAACCACAAAATTCTAAGCTCTTAACTGTGACTAGGTACTGTAATACTGTCATAAGCATCAAGGCTTTAGACTGAAAAAAAAATTAAATACAGCAGAAAGTTATGTTTTGCAATTTCTATGCTTTTTATTTTATAAAAAAATAAAATAAAAAATGAAATTAAAAAAATTATCAAATCTCACATTTCCTGAAAACCATGGATTAAAATTAACCTGATACAGATTAAAGAATTCAGAAACAGCTGAATGGTTTTTGTATGACACAAAGACTGTAAACAAACAGATGTGTTGCTGACACACTACACAAGGGAGAGCAACAGAGCCTGACTAGAACAAAAAATGGCCCTGTAAAACTATATCAAAGGCAAGATCCAGGATAAACAACAATTTGTATTCCCAATAGCCCAGACACAAAATGTAAACAAAAGATATTCTTGGGAGCAATGTCACCACACAAACTTTATATACAAGGAAGGGCCCAGGATCAAATCCAAGTGGGAGAGGAAGCTGAAAGCCATACATAGATTTATACGAAACAACAATCAGTAGAGTCAGGATTTCCTTGAGGTACAAATCTTAAAATAAATAACCCATCGCAAGGTCATCAGCGAAACAATATAATTTAACTTTTTAATTAACCAGCTAAGCAGATATGGGAAAAATATTATCTTAACTCTTAACAGTAGCATTTTACCTCACCTAATGGTTCCCTTGAGAAACAATTATTGTAAATTAGTTTTTTAAATTCTTTCTCTTATACTTTTGGACTCAGTATTTTTTATAAGTATTCACAGTTTAAAAAAAAAATTATTTTATTTAATTTAGATACTTTTTAAAATAAATTTAAAACAATTCCTCAGAACAAGGGGATTTACAACTTAATTACTTAACAGTTAATCAACTAAAATACTACCTAAATCAGTTCTGGTTAAACAAGACAACTTTGCAATGTTATGCTTGAAATAGTTAAGCATAACACATTTGTCACATTGATAAAATGGGATTTCTGAAAATCAGTTGAGCAATTGGAAAACAAAAATCATACAAAACAATTTTAAAACAAAATTCTGGATTGTCTTATCCAAGTGTACCAAAAAGCTGGCACCTTCAAACAATTTGAAAACTAAAATAGGAATGTATTTAACACAACAGGAAAATTTGGAAAAATAATTTAAGAATTGATTTCATGAAAAAATATATATACTGGTAATGTTTTATTTTTTTTAACGAATGTAACAAGTAGAATTTTTAAATGGAAACAAAAATTAATTATAAACCTTTGCTTCCTGTGTTCTAACTTTAATTTACTAGAACAATAAGTTGATTGAGATGTACCAGACCAATACATTGATTGAGACTGTAAATATTCTCTTTTTCAACCACCTCTATGGGCATACAGACAATCAAAGGGACGTAACTGTACATATTTTTCTTCATCTTTACAGTTGTTATACACAAAGCAAAAATCAACTCTCACTATAACAACAAGAAATGATACAACACAGAAACCTCAAGAATGATGTAATAATGAGAATAATATAAACATAACAATCAATAATAACTTCATTATAAGAATAATTATATTAAAATACTAATGATGGAAAGGCTTCTTCTGTATTGCACAACCCACGATAAAGGCAATGAAAATAAAAAGAAAAATATTTATCATAACAAATTCTCTATTGTACAAACAGGTATCAATAAATAATTCCACATGTATTCTTTACAAATTTCTCATGGGCTGTAGGGTAATCAGACATACATATACATACATATCATACTTTGTACAAAATATTTCTGCGCACATAATGATAGTAGTGTACACATGTGGAATACAACTATTTGCACAACTCATACCCATATTTTTGTAATGTACACAAGGGACCTATGCAGCCAGAACAACAGAAACAAACATGGACCATAATTTCATGGTATCAATTCAATAGACCCACCTCTCTTTGGCAACAATAAAAACTGAAATAAGACTAAACCATCACAAGACATGCTGTACTAATACAGAAGACCAGCTGGCTCCATTGTAAATCATCAAGGTGATCAACAATACAAACGGCATTAGAAAATTCTGTTCATTATACAAAGAAGGCATAGCTTTGATTGTGTCCTTGATTGGACACACAATCTTCAATCATTTGAAAAATTACAACAAAAATTACTTCATTATCAAAAGAGAACTGATTTCTAAACAATTAAATTTTAAATTATTTCTGATAGTTATATAAAATAATTTGAGATTATACAATGAATTACAGATGAATCATTCATGACTCATCAAGACTTTATATCAAACGGCCATCATCAAGTCAACTTTTAAAATGATCAAGTTTAATTACTTAATAATATCTGATTAAAAATATAAATCAACTTTGAGCAAATATGTGATATCATGACAATCAACCATATTTGTGGTTTACACATTCATCACTTTACAGGGATGTTGTGGAAACATCAGATTCCCATCAAAACATCAGATTCCAATCAAAAACATCAGATTTACATCAAAACATCAGATTCCAATCAAAAACATCAGATTTACATCAAAACATCAGATTCCCATCAAAACATCAGATTCCATCCAAAACATCAGATTCCCATCAAACATCAGATTCCCATCAAAAACATCAGATTCACATCAAACATCAGATTCCCATAAAAAACCCATCAGATTCCCATCAAAACATCAGATTCCCATCAAAAACATCAGATTCCCGCCAAAACATCAGATTCCCACCAAAAACATCAGATTCCAATTAGAAACATCAGATTCTCAACTCAGCTGGCACAATGTTTTTTGTCAAACAACTGACCCAGTCAATAAAAAACAAAAAAATCTTTTAGCTCAAATTGTCATTAGATCATTTTGTGTCAGATCTCTGTGTCAACTGACAGACAGAAATATTTGACATGATGAAAAAACAAGGTAAATATTGTCTGAGCAGTAGGAATGAGGTGATGATATATAATTAAACCATTACACAAATCGTAATCAATTCTCTTTGACTTGCTGTGTGGGTCCCTCACACATCTTACACACACCAGAATCCCCAGGGCTGTGTGAAATGAGCTCATCACTTCCTATCTCTGTTGAGCTTTTACTTTTTAATTCACACATAGTACTGGAACCTTTTTCTCAACTGATGCCTTGATTTTTGTGTGTGAAATATCGTGTAAAAATAGCCAGCCAATCAGAAGAGGCCTGCTCAGTTCTGCTGGAGGAGAAGCTGCTCTAGTTCGTCTGCTGAGCGGTACAGGAAGGCAGCTGACTCTCTGTAGCCTGCTATAAGCTGCTTGATGGCCGTGACCTCTGAGGAGCTCAGCTGACCTTTGGTACTGGACTTTTTCATGCTTAGATCTGTTGGCCCTGCAGACAGGGGAGGATTTAATTGGATTGGATTGTCTAAAATTCGCTTTAAAAAGATTTTCAAAAATTTGCTTTAAAACGATTGTCTAAAATTTGCTTTAAAAAGATTGTCAAAACCTCGCTTTAAAAAGATTGTCAAAACTTTGCTTTAAAAAGATTGTCAAAACTTCGCTTTTTAAAAGATAACGTTCGAACTAATGTTAAGATAATGCATTTTAAAGTAAAATTAGATTATAATAGGTTCTTTAAGGAATACAGATAGGGAAGTACAGTATTATTCATAGCACTGTTGTATTTGTGCTGATAACACAGTCAGAGACGTAGCGAGGGGCGGGGGGCGGGGGGGGGGGGGCATATGTCCCCGGGCGCCGACCTGAGGGGGGGGGGGCAAAATGGGTTTGAAAAAAATTGAAAGTATTTGAGGGGGGTGCAAACGAAAAGTTCGAGGGGTGGGGGTGCAAATCGAAAGTTTGAGGGGCGGGTGCAAATCGAAAGTTTGTCCCCGGGAAGGGGCGCTACGCCTCTGAACACAGTTAAGGTTAGGGTTGGGATTTCATAGTGGCTGAAATAACACCCAGGACATCTATACTAGCAACAACTTGAGCAACTTGGAAATGCCCTGTTACTATATTTAGAGTTACCTTCCATCCTCGAAATGATTTTTTTAAAGATTATATAATTTAAAATGAATCAATCAATAAATGTGAACCGTTGTCCATACAGTGAATTCATTACACGCATGTTTTTAATGAGCGTAATGTCACATGTCATTATCGGGTCAATGCCGGGGGAAGCTACTTACCGAATTCTCCGTTAGTCGTGGCGTTGGTGCTAATTGGAGCGTGGGGCAGCACTGAGGGGTGGTGGTGGGCGGGGTGCTGGTAGCTGGGGAAGCCCGGCCTGAAGAGGGCGCCGCCGTGACCGTTGGTGAAAAAAGAGGGGGGAAAGTCAGGGGCGGGGCGGAATGTGGGTGGTGGCGGCTGGTGACGTAGGAAGTCTGTGTTGGCCGAGCAGTTGTTGAGGGAGCGGGGGGAGGAGATGCTGCTGGGCTGGGAGGGCGTGACGGCTGTGGGGGGCTGCTGGGGGGTGGAGGCTTGTGTGCTAGGGGGAGTCTGGGCGCTGACCAGAGCATTGTGGGCTACCATAGCTGAAGCCTGCAAGGAAAAAGTTAAGCCATGGTTAAAAAAAACAAACGAAAAAATAAAATAGCTGACTGAAACATATGTAGAGCAGGGGAAGTAACAAGTAAAAGAAAAAATATATATTGATTGTCTCCCGTGCCTCGGATAATTCATACAGTAAAAAAAGCCATGAGAGTGTAATTTTTGATATCTTGATATTCGATCCTCCCATTTTTTTTCGCATCATAAACTGACGTTCAGCTGTTTTATTTTTTTAGTGCAAACTTTTCCTGTACCATATTGTTTTTTTTTAAAATCTGCCTTAAGTATCAAGTGGGTGTGGGAAATTTGGGCCCATTTAACGGAAATGATAGGACCATTTTAAAAAAATTAATGAAAACAATGCGACGCTATATAATAATTGGTATCTTTAAACAAATCAGGTTATCTGATAAAATCTTATATACAACAGTATATGGTCTATTTTTGCTCGGTGGTCTTAACATATGACCTACTTAACATGAATAACCACTTATTACATGACCTACTTTTGACCACCAACGAAGTTATCCAACACAACAAAGTATATAAAACCTTCATGCTTGTATATATCCTATTCTAAATTCAAAAGATGAAAAGCCAACAGACTTAGAACTACGAATATTATTTTGGCGATTTCATTCAGTTATGCCGGGTGAAACCAAAACAATATGGGTCTAGATTTACTATCACGGTGTTTATAAACCTTAAACTAACGTTTCCTTAAGTCATTTATGTACTGTTTGTGGGTGAATGGAAGTGCGTGTTTGTGGGTGTATGCATATGTATGTATGTATGTGTATGATTTTGTGTTTGTTTGCTAATGTGGCTGTGAGTGGCACCACCGTTTCCTATGGCAACAATTCTAAGTCGGACGTCAAACAACTGTTTCATCTCTTTGACTCAGACGTATTCATACCGCTCCAACAATGTCAGGGGCGCTAACTCCCCACTAGCAGCCCCTCGCGCTACTCATCACTGGACAAAAGCCTTAGGGGGCCCACGGCACCATATGGCAACGGTCTCAAAGTCCTGAAGCCCCTCCACCCCCCGCCTCCACCTTACGGGCCCAGGTTTCAAGTTCGCCATTACCAGGTGACGTTAGCCCTCCCACCCCGTGGTTACCCGGGCAGGGGGCAGTAGAAGCCGTGAAGGTATCAAAAGACAGGACAATCTCAGCGATCCACCGCGGGCTCGCGCTGTCTCCATCAGGCGACAGCAGTAAGAAAATATCGGCCAGGGGGATTAACTCTGATGGCGAGCGGTAGGGGAGATTACCATTTGAACAAATCAAATTTAAAGCCTTGAAGGCAATATAAAATTTAAGGGCTCGGAGGATACCATATAATTATCATCCACGGTTGTTTCAGAAACAGTACAATTTCAACAATAAATTTTTCTACGGCTAAAAAAAAATTGAAATAATTAAAAAAAAGACTGAAACACGCCATGATTGGAGAGTGATCCTGATATTTTGATCCAACACAAAGAGACACTCCGAAGATTTTTTTGTGTAAAATAATAGTATGTCATTACAGAAACGATAGAAGCAATGACGTACTGTCGAGGTGGTGGGGCCGGGGTGGGGGTAAATTAAAACAAGTGTTTGTGAGCTATTTATGACGAGACGCGGCCAGAAACTGATTAAAGCTGCAAGCGGCCTCAGACAAGGCGCGTAAATCAAGTCCATTTACTTTGTTGTTCGATGCTCTCTCGCTACCCACCGCCAACCAAAAGCCATTCAAAATATTAAACAATAAGAGATTAGCGCTCCCCCCTCTCCCCTCCAGGGTGTGGGCTTTAATGAGGTAGGGGGAAGGTGCGGGGAGGGGGGCGTTAGGAGGCCATGTACAACCTGTGTCTTGCTGTTGTCATTGACAACGGGGGAAAGAGAAGTTCCAGAGATCGATGCGTTCTCCGGTGAAAAAAAAACTTGAAGTAAAAAAAATGATAAAACAACACAAGAGGAAATAAAAGAAACGAGCAAAAAGATAAGGGTTCCTTTTCATTGTTGGGGCTCGTACAATGGAACGGTCCCCAGGTAGAAGGGGGGAGGGAGGAGGGAATTTCGCTAAGAAAACCTAGCTCCATTATTATTTCAGAATTAAGGCATCGAATGGAACCCTCGCCCGCCCCCTACTCTTGGTTTTTTTTTTCTTTTGACTGTCAAATCAGCCGGCATCTCCAAGGGGACCCTACCCGTGTAAGATAAAAGCTGTTTCCCAGTACACAAAGAACCGCGGAAATATTGTCTCGCTTCGTCGATGCCATTTCTCTCCCCTGTTCACAGTTCTCTTGATGGTGGGTGAGGTGGGTTGGGGGGGAGGGGGGGTAGGATACTACTCACTCCTGCCGTCTCTTTTGTCTGAAGGGGGAAACCGACGGTCTAACTGGTCGATAGCATCACACGCAGGTAGGCAGGAACGGTGCTAGACTAGCAGGCAGACCACCAAAATATGGTGCTAGACTAGCAGGCAGACCATCAAAATATGGTGCTAGACTAGCAGGCAGACCACCAAAATATGGTGCTAGACTAGCAGGCAGACCATCAAAATATGGTGCTAGACTAGCAGGCAGACCACCGAAATATGGTGCTAGACTAGCAGGCAGACCACCAAAATATGGTGCTAGACTAGCAGGCAGACCACCAAAATATGGTGCTAGACTAGCAGGCAGACCACCAAAATATGGTGCTAGACTAGCAGGCAGACCACCGAAATATGGTGCTAGACTAGCAGGCAGACCACCGAAATATGGTGCTAGACTAGCAGGCAGACCACCAAAATATGGTGCTAGACTAGCAGGCAGACCACCGAAATATGGTGCTAGACTAGCAGGCAGACCACCAAAATATGGTGCTAGACTAGCAGGCAGACCACCAAAATATGGTGCTAGACTAGCAGGCAGACCACCAAAATATGGTGCTAGACTAGCAGGCAGACCACCAAAATATGGTGCTAGACTAGCAGGCAGACCACCAAAATATGGTGCTAGACTAGCAGGCAGACCACCGAAATATGGTGCTAGACTAGCAGGCAGACCACCGAAATATGGTGCTAGACTAGCAGGCAGACCACCGAAATATGGTGCTAGACTAGCAGGCAGACCACCGAAATATGGTGCTAGACTAGCAGGCAGACCACCAAAATATGGTGCTAGACTAGCAGGCAGACCACCAAAATATGGTGCTAGACTAGCAGGCAGACCACCGAAATATGGTGCTATACTAGCAGGCAGACCACCAAAATATGGTGCTAGACTAGCAGGCAGACCACCGAAATATGGTGCTAGACTTGCAGGCAGACCACCAAAATATGGTGCTAGACTAGCAGGCAGACCACCGAAATATGGTGCTAGACTAGCAGGCAGACCATCAAAATATGGTGCTAGACTAGCAGGCAGACCACCGAAATATGGTGCTAGACTAGCAGGCAGACCACCGAAATATGGTGCTAGACTAGCAGGCAGACCACCAAAATATGGTGCTAGACTAGCAGGCAGACCACCAAAATATGGTGCTAGACTAGCAGGCAGACCACCGAAATATGGTGCTAGACTAGCAGGCAGACCACCGAAATATGGTGCTAGACTAGCAGGCAGACCACCGAAATATGGTGCTAGACTAGCAGGCAGACCACCGAAATATGGTGCTAGACTAGCAGGCAGACCACCAAAATATGGTGCTAGACTAGCAGGCAGACCACCAAAATATGGTGCTAGACTAGCAGGCAGACCACCGAAATATGGTGCTATACTAGCAGGCAGACCACCAAAATATGGTGCTAGACTAGCAGGCAGACCACCGAAATATGGTGCTAGACTTGCAGGCAGACCACCAAAATATGGTGCTAGACTAGCAGGCAGACCACCGAAATATGGTGCTAGACTAGCAGGCAGACCATCAAAATATGGTGCTAGACTAGCAGGCAGACCACCGAAATATGGTGCTAGACTAGCAGGCAGACCACCGAAATATGGTGCTAGACTAGCAGGTAGACCACCGAAATATGGTGCTAGACTAGCAGGCAGACCACCAAAATTGACGATTGCCCACATAGTTAAGAGATTAGGCGATAATCTCTCAAATATGTAAGAGATGTTTTGGTCATTAATGCTTACCCAATCCGTTGAACATTTTTTTTTCTCAACGTTAGCTTTGTCTGTAATTATGGAGACTAAAGTTGATGTGGTGACATGTAAGAGAGTACAGCTACAGAGGTGACACCAAAATCGCGAAATTGAGAGGTGAGAAGGGAACTAAAAATTCCAGGGGTGATTTAGAGAGCACGGGTACAATTGTGACACCCTCAGAATTGTAAAGGTATAGTTGTAACACAGGTACTAATGGTTTAGTAGTGACAGAGAGGCTATATGTTAAGTGGTGATACAAAGTTATAATGGTGACACATAAATTTATAATGGTGACACATTGCCTACAGTTATGCTGGTGACACATTTCCTACAGTTATACTGGTGACACAGACTGACAGGTAAAGAGGTGACACATTAGCCAGGAAGCAGACGTTGAAGTGTTCCCCATAGAAATGTTCCAGAGGTAGCGAGCCAGAGTGGTCTAGAGTTCTAGACTTGCAGGAGGGTCGGGCAATGGAGCCTGCCAACATGCCTTTTGTCTCCCCTAGCAGAACAAAGGGGTGCTCAGGTGAGGGAGAGGGGAAAAAAACTTCCAGTTTGGGGTTTGAAGAAAAACAAAATATGGATCGGGATAAAATTTACGAGGCGGAGAGTGGAGGGGGTGGGGGTAGTTGGACAAGGGGAGAGAAATCTAATAACATAATGAGAGAGAGAGAGAAATATGGGGGCGGGGTAAATGGGCGCGCGCTCCAGCACGTGAATAAGGATTGGGTTGTCTTATTAGTTGCTGAATAAAAACATAGTAAATGTCTGGCACCAAGATTTCCGTTGGTTAAAGACCATCTGTTTGACTCTCACACAACAGTCCAGTGTCTGTAAACCTTTAGAAGGGGAGTGGTGGG